TATTTTGAATGAATAATAAAGCAATTAATGAATTCGGCTTTTGTAGGATATCAAGAATTAAGGAGATCTTGGAGGGTGTTATCCACCTCGACCTTCGGCCTCTGTGGATAACACCCTCCTCCATCTGCTTAATTCTTCATATCCTACCTCAGCCTCATTCATTAATTGCTAATTAGTAATAATTTAAAAATAAAACATTGACTGACTGGACAGTAATGAGTTACAGCTATCTAGTGATAAAGGCATGAACTATTGGTTTCAGTGTTGGTTGTTGAAAAAACAGTCCCTTATCCTTGCTACACTGCTCAAATGGAAATAACATGATTTGCAGATACTAGTAACATGCTGGTCAAATGTTTGTCAAAAATAACACCAATACATTCTTTGCTGAAGGAGGCGGTTGAATCTGTTCACAGGATATGCCAATAATTTTTATGCTCTATCGATGGACGTGGGCAATGATGGGCACTCAAAATCAGCAGTTCAGTCTTGTGCTTGTTCAAGTTTAACTTGTTCTACACCATCCATAAGTCTATAATATCACTAACACATGCTTCAATACATGCTATTGAGCCAGGTTGTTCGGCTGCATTAGGCTTAAAGGTCAAATAGAGCTGAGTATCGTTAGCATAAAAGTGAAGTCAAGATTATGATGTTTGATGATGTCCCCAAGAGGCAACGTGTACAAAAGATAAAGTATCAGGCCAAGGATAGACCCTTGTCCAAAGCATAGATCTTTTACAGCTGATTTGACTCTATCGACTATTACAAACTGCTTTCGATCCAGAAGACAGGATCTAAACCATTTTAATACCTGGCCCTCTCCTCTAAAGCGATTTGACATCCTTTCAAGTAAAAGATAGTGACAGTGTCAAACGCCACAGACATCTAATAATAAGAGCACCACACATGGCAATAAAGTGCGCAAAGAATGTCATTTTGAACTTTTATCAGGACAGCTGTCTCAGTACTGGAAATGTTTGTAATCTCACTGAAGAGGAACATGCCAGAACAAGACTAGTATCGAGAGAAAGTAACCTTTGCCCCCGTGTTGTGGGCTTTTCAGACGCAAAAAAAAAGTTGGTCCCTGCATGAGTTAGCATCATGTTTTGAATGCAGCAATAGCCTCTCTGTGCTCTTAGCTCCTGGATAACACTTGTGGAAAAAGTGTTCTGTTCACATGTTCAGGATGGCCCTGCCTTTCAGTAAAAGGTACAACTTTACAACCATCAGGAGAAAGAAAGGCTGGTTGCACTCACCGGCAACTCATTTGTGTATTTAGAAATTTATATGAATAGCCAAGAGCCAATTTCTTACAATTTGGTAAATGTCTAAAACATTAAGTCATCTCCGGGGCACTTATAAGTAGACTGTATAAGGTGAAGTGAAGTATTTATGAACCAGTTGTTGGAAAAGGGATTGAACTGATCTTTGATAGATTTCTAAAGACTTTAACAGCTTTGTACATGTAATGATAAAGATTACTATCATTTATTTATAATTTTTATTTATTTATTACCTCAGGGTTATTTATTAATTTATAATACTTATTTTTTTATTTTTTTCACAGCACTAGGAATATCAACATGCTGTCAACTGAAGGTTTGTATACCTTCCAAAAGGAAAGGTCTTACTACAGCACACAGTTTACAAGTATAATGAAGTGTCTGCATTAACAAAGTTGACTTTTTATGACAATCCGTTGATTGGAGAAAATTTTCCACATTAACAGCTGGTGTCCAGGTAAGAAAATAGCCTGCTTAAGATCCGATAATGGCAGACGTCTGTGACGGCGAGCGGAAGTGAAATTACTGCTGGAAAGACTTCCGGCTGCCGTCGTTGCGAAGTTTCCCGCCGTAGCGGCCTTGTCTGTGACGTGAAGAAGGCCATTTTGCCGTCGCGTGTAAAACGTGAGTAAACTGGATCAAAGTAGTGACATTTAAACACATTTTGAGCAAAATTCTTTAGCACTGTTAACAGTTTATTCTCAGTAGACCATTTTTGTCGAATTTCTAAGCGACTTAAACAATTTGAACACGGTATTTAAATTAAATTTGTTTGCCCTCTCTAAACAGTTTGACTCGTTAATCGCCATGGACTCGGTTAACTCGACAAAGAAAGCAACCCAGTAAGTTTTACAAGTTTTTTCTTGTGTTTATTGATGTGTTTATTAACAATTATGATATCGTAGACTTGTTTTGGCATTAAATTGAGGTCCAATGGATTATGTCACTCANGTATTTAAATTAAATTTGTTTGCCCTCTCTAAACAGTTTGACTCGTTAATCGCCATGGACTCGGTTAACTCGACAAAGAAAGCAACCCAGTAAGTTTTACAAGTTTTTTCTTGTGTTTATTGATGTGTTTATTAACAATTATGATATCGTAGACTTGTTTTGGCATTAAATTGAGGTCCAATGGATTATGTCACTCATCTTTTCGTCAGGCCTCTCGAGGTCAAAATGTTCGTAATTCTGGTAGGGAAAATCCGCAGTTTTTAGATCTGTTGACATCATACAACAGTAAAAATTCATCTTCTGAAATGTCGCCATCATCGAAACTTGTCAGTAACAATTCACGAACCTTTCTGAAAGTAGTCATCACTCTTGTATTTATTGCTAAACTTCAACAGGAAAAGGCGCTACAACAACCCGCCGTCGCGCGAGCTTTCTTAATGCTATTTTTCGCGCCATTGCGACAGCGACCTCACCCCAAGCCCCCTTGACCAAGTCTGCCGTCGTAGAATCTCGCCGTTGTCGGATCTTAAGCTCACTAATGTAAGGGCTTTCCTAGGGAACAAAGAAAACAATCCATAATAATTAGCCTACAAAAACATCCGTTTCTCCTCGCTCTTCGTCGTTGGACGTTTCGCGCGGAGGAACGTCTGCCACTCAGCGACAGAAATTCCATACTGATGACCCAAATCAATGCGTACATAATAAATCCAGTAGTCATGGGGTTCCAAATGTAAATTTGTCCAATTTTGCGTGTCCTCTGGTCGATTTTGGTAAAGTGTTGTGTTGATCTGCCCACGAGCTCCAGCAAAACTCAAATGCTTCTTCTAGAGAAGACTATATTCCACAAATATTGGCTGTTTTGTTAGAGATTCTTCGCGTTTACATTTGACCTTTGTGGCCTCGTGTCTTTTGTCTGTCATTCGTAAACAATAGCTAAAACAATGTGACTGCTCCATTGACCAATCAGCGCTTCTGACCGGATTCCGGACAGATTTTATGTCATCAGTATGGAATTTCTGTCGCTGAGTCGCAGATGTTCCTCTGCGTGAAACGTCCCCAGCAACGAAGAGCGAGGAGAAATGGATGTTTTCCCAGGCTACGTAACAATGAGGTGTCCGTATTAAGCGGGCGTCAGTAAAGCGGGGTTTGACTGTACTTACAGTCGACTCTCTCTAAACAGACATCTCTGTAAAAGTGACACTTAGAGTTGGTCTCTGCCTTTCTTTACTTAACTTTTGGTTGACTCTCTATAAGACAGACATCTCTCTAAGACAGACACTTATTGCCAGTCCCAAAGGTGTCCATCTTAGAGAGAGTTGACTGTACTGTATTTAACCCTTTAAGCCCCAATATCTACATACAAATTCTCCAGACTGATCTCCATACATTTCTTTTAAGAATAGTTGAGAGACTTTGATCTAAGATCAAAGTGTTCTCTCTTTGGTAATTAATCTAGTAATTCTCATAACCTTTACTCTTGATGATCTGCTGATGTTGTTAGGAGAAAATTGATGTTGGTCACTCTTGGGACTTAATGGGTAAAGCCCTGATGCTCCTGGAACATCCACCACTTAATTTAAGCATTGCAAAATTAAAAGCCAACAACCAAACTAAATAAGTACAAAACAGATTTACATGTACTGCTACAAGTTAAGCAGGCTACATTTATAACTTTGTACCAAATCTCAGTAATCATGTGCCATAAATTGCAACCAATATGTTTATGAATTTAAAGCTTGAAATGTTTAACAACAGCTTGGAACAATATTAAACTGTAGACTAATAAAATAAGGTCCCCGTGTGAAAAACATGGAATTCCATGGATTTCCATGGAAAATTCTCCATGGAATTCCATGAAGGATTAGGACATCAATTTCCATGGAAATCCATGGAAATTTCTCCATAGATTTCCATGGAAAATATTTGCATGGAGGATTAGGACATTTCCCATGGAATTCCATGGAAAACATTAGGACACCAATTTCCATGGAAATTTCTGCATCGACATTTTCCATGGAATTCCATGGAAAAGTTCCATGCAATTCCATAGAAACTACTCCATCGATTATTCCATGGAACTCCAGGGAGCTTCATGGAATTCACAGGAATTACACATTTAAAATATCCAGTGAGTCAATTGGAATACATAACAGATTTTGGTCCACTGCAATTTATTTAATCAATAAAAGGACCACATAAATCTCTTTTTAAAGATATCAATCAAAAGTTAACATGCTTTTGGCGGAAAATTTGACATTTATAATGTAGCTAAAACAAATTAATGTTTACTTGTGACTATACACATTGCAGTTTAGAATGCAGCAATCATATTGAAGTAGCTTAAATGAAAAATTTAGATTTAATATAAAGCAAGGAATCTTGGCCTGGTGTTTAAGAAAAGTAAAAGGCGAACAGATGCATAATTGAGAGAAAAAATAAGCTAATACTAATAAATGCATAAACCGTCAGTATGTAATTAAACATGGCTTTATTTAATGCGACAAAAAAGGGAAGTGCTACTTATTTCCTCGATCAGAACCATGGTATTAATTTTAGTTATAGCAAAGTCCTACCTAATCCTTGGGAAAAACGGCGTCAGCCACAATTATAATTTATCAGTCTCTTGTACAGTTTTTACGTAGCAGGCATGAAAAATTCTAAATATGATATTTCTTCTTATACATCGAAGCAGTCCATCGACAGACACACTGTCTGCATATGTACTTGCTGTCGCGGTGCGAGATCTCGAGGCTTTCGATTTCAGCTAATGCTGTCTGGAAAAATGAAAAAATCAAAAAAGAAATTATGCAGCTAGTGAAAAAAGAGGTCGAGCGAGAATGCACACATTTATGTTCCAAGAAGAATCCCAGTTGTTTGAGAAAGACAGACAAAGAAGACATGCTCGATTTTTCTATGGAGAAACTCTGTTCAGAGGTAGAGGACAGGGCACCGATGCTACACATCGTTTTATCAGCTGCTGCTATCAACAGAAGAAGCAGAGCTGAAACTGAAACTCCAGCTACTAGATTTGGTGCTGTTGGGATGGCTGCTGCTGTGTGCCTCAGAAACCGATCGAGATACATGATTGCAGTGCAGTTCCTGATCACTAATTTCCTATATCATTCAAACTGGCTGGTAGGTACTAAAATTGTCACTTTGTAGTCACCACTCTTAAATTTAATTTATCATGTATGGATCAAGACTAGGTGTATTTTCATGACATTCATAATCAACACATTTGTCATTTGTTTGGCTCAACTAATTAAAGAAATATTTCTGTCCAGGCCTTGGCTCATTAAATCTAATAAATTTATTGCTATGTATTAAAACCATATGTGAAGAGTACCAAAACAGATTATTTGCAAGGTATGTTTATGTAATCTGATCATAAATGTTGTTTATCTTACTGCTGTGTACTTATTCTTTTTTTGTATACCTATTCTTTGTACATTTTTAAAATTTGATTTGTATATCATCAACAGATAGGTTATCAGCAGGTCCACATCAGTTTTAGCTGCCTTTTAACCTGCTTTACCAAATAAACTATGAATGAATGAATGAATGAATGAATGAATAAATGAATGGATGTCCTTCAGCATGATTGAAAATATAACTTTCTTTCCTTTGAGGGCATTAAACTTCTTTTTGACAAATAGGTAAATAGATCCAAGCTTTTACCAATTGACAGTGTTCATTGGTGAAAGCTTGAATTTCAATTTTCTTTTTTAAACAGTAGGGCCACACTATAAATGATAATATTTTTTTCTTCTGCTTATGTGGTTTGGGTAAAAACTATCTATATGATAGCAAACGATAGTGTACATTGTGATCAACAGGCTTCACTAGCAAGGCTGAGCACTCTGAGGATTACAACAAGCCATACCTACCTGTACAAGAAGCTCGATGAATTTGGCAAGGACCATGACAAGCCTATCTGTGAAGCAGTTGCCAGGCAAAGTGAGTATATGGCCAGTGTGCGTGACCATCCATCTGCGGAAAATGAAGATCAGCGTTCAGAGAAATCTAACAAGTCCACGTGCCACACCCCAGACTGTGGGCGCAAGGTGGTCTTTGACAACCTGGATTACAGCCAGGAGGTCCACTGGATGACGGAAGACCATCAAAACACCGATTGTCATTGTGTAACTGCAATGTCGACTGAGAATAGGGTGCCTGGTATGGGGTTAAGCACCGAAACACCACAGTTTGGATTGCTTGATATGGAGAATGGGGATTGTCTGCCATCTGCCCTCGATAATGCCAAGCAGCAAGATAACTATGTCAAGCTTGTTGAGAGAATAATAGTCAATAGCATTCCGTGTCTTGAATACCTGGCCACTGCATGTACCAACCACATTCCCCATCAGTATAGTGGTGAGATGAGAAAGAAAACTGATACAGTAAGTATGGACAGTAATGTAGGATGGCAGACTCTGACAATGAGCAAAGAGAAATTCCAATGGGTTGGGAGTGGATTATCTTTAAGGCAAATAATAATTGAAGTCCAACGGAGCTGGTGGTTTTTATTGCCCTACAAGTGTTATCAGATGGCCTCCTTTACAGAAAGACAAGGTTTTCCCTATATTTTTGAGCACAAAGCAATGCTAGGCAAGAAAAATGTTACCAACATGATTTCTTTTCTTTCCAGGAAATCGGATTTATTATCATAATAATTGTTACTGTGAGCTATATTTTCTCAAATTTTCCAGGACACATTAAGTACAATTGGAAAAAAAATCTTTTTAAAATAGCCACATTTCAGCTGGTATTCTCACGCTATCATTGGCAGACTGTAATGTGTCTGGAATGAGGCTAAAGGGAAGAATAATTATTTATTTCAACAGGTCTTCTTGGGTATGATCTATGAGAATGAAAATGATGCTGATGGTATCTTGAGGGTTCTCCAGGAGCTGCATCAATATGTCCCGTTTGATGGAGATGATGATGAAAGGGTATATGGCCAGCAAGGGGTTGTTGGAGATCAGCTCAGTGTGGAGAGGGGAGTTAATGGGCATTGTTCCCTGGCAAATGGCTTCACCCCTGAAGAGAGGCTGGAGGGCCTGCATTTTGAGATCGCAGACTGGCATGGAGGCAATAAGTTCACCAAGGTTGGTAGATCATTCTTGTATGAATTTCAACTAAAGTCGTGTTATTCTTAGATGTTTCCATGGTTATTGGCTTGCTACTGACAGTCGTTTACTACTGACAGTCGAGACTAAGTCTGTGGCTTCAGTACAACTCCATGCCGTTTATTTTTTCGTCAGTGTGGTGAGGCTGTTGCTAACGTGTCGTCATTTTCTTTCAAA